TCTTAGCCCACATTCCATAGGTATAATTAATCCAACTATTTTGACTTATTCTCTTATATTTGCTTGTATGAACTTACAGCACACTCTGCACCCTCATTTTTAGTGCCTACTTGAGGACATTCAGCTTTCAAGCAGACCAACTAGGTGGTCCCTTTTTGTCTTGCAAGAGCATCCCTCTCTCAGTGAAATGGGATGGTTATAATTCCCTCCCCGTTTGCCACGACACCTGGGTGCTCTCATCTGCTAGACAGCTGGAAGCTGTCACTAGAGATGCTGTTCTCACGGAAGCGTTGCTGGGCTCAGTCAGACGCTCTTTGTAAAGCAGATGGAACACCTCAGAAGAACAGCACTGCAGCAACAAAAGCTCATTTTCTGCTAGGGGATTTCTGTTATTGGGCAATGCTTCCATCAGGTGACTTCACACCCCAGTGAGCCCACATGCCAGCGGAGTCCAGTGATGATTCTGTTAACCTACTTCCACTACTGAGGCCTTGCAGTTTCACTCCCCAAAACCCCCTTTCCATCTCTGCCCTTCCAAACCCCACAGGAGCACTAGGAATGGGGGCTCAGCCCCCGCTGTGGCCCCGCTGTGGCCTTGTCACCCAGGATTTCTGACAGAGCAGGATTTCCGCTCCGTGCCCACGGAGCTGCGCATGCACGAGCCTCTCACACCAGCAGCCACATCTGAGTCACTTCTCGTGCACAGGGTCTGCACAGTCTGTCTCAATCTCGATGGTGCAACCCAGAGGAAGTGGGTGCCACAAAGGAAGAGGGCACATCTCCAAACCTGGTGATGATTTCACGCTTACCCCGGCAACAGGATAAGAACACCTTTTGGCTGCCCTTAAATGTCTTTTTCTTTGCAGCACATGCCACCAGCCCATGCTCCAGCTACCTGCACAATTCAGCTGCTTCCACTGCTCCTCACCCAGGCACAGCTCTCCCACCTCACAGCCAGCTCCCATCCCACAGCATTTGACACTCAAAGAGGCTGTGATATGCATAGCTCACTCAAGAGAAGGGCATGCCCTTCTCCAATATGGGTTAGTAGACACAATTTCAATTTCTGGCTCTTGCAAGCAAAGTCTTGAAATGGCTTTTCAATATTTGAGTGTTTCAGTCCTATTTTCCAAGCGATTGATACACAAAGAAATCTAGATGGAAACCTCCAAGAGAAAATCAAATCCCTTAGATATCTCAGAAAATGCTGCCCCATGTGATCTAGTACCCTCCTGACAAACAGCTCTCTATTTTTCTTTGTGATGGTTCCTACTTCCCACCAACATCTGTCACTGTGATTATGATCTCTAATGAGCTTCTAAATTATATCACAGCATTCTGCCTTGATGAGCTACATTCAGTAACTTTCATTTTGCAAGACATGAAACACTGCCTACAAGATGCTGAATGAAAATTCCCTCAGCACAACAGCTGAAAAACTGGTTTTGAGGGATTTTTTGCCTGTTTTGCTTGGGTTTTATTTTGGCGTTTTCAGCGTTCTGTTTTGTGATTCTTGTTATGCATTCTTATTCCAGGATGCCTAGGAACTTTACACATGAGGCACAGAAAGTTGAGCCTTCCTACTGCACACCCCTAAAATCTTCACCCAAAGACGGGAACTGTCTCTCACCACACAGCAGCAGAGATGGCACATTATTTCTGTAAGGCAGGACAGGCAGAAGAACCCAAGCCAAGGTCCCAGAGAAAACTGCCAATATTTTTAAGCTAGCTTCCAGTTCCAGGTGAGGGTTAGTTTGAGTGACGTATCCAGACCCTCGGGATGCTGCACAGACTCAGTTTCCCCGTGCTGCCAGGATGGAGTATTAATGCTCCACACCTCCCCCCTGATTCCTCAGACAACACCAGCCCCCCTCAGCATTCTCACTCATGTTACTAACATGCACATCCAGTGTCATACCTTGCACTAATGTTACCTGCCCATCTGGGAAAGTGTGTACGGTGTGCCTGAAGGCAAGGACAGAGCAGGCTGATGTTTGTGTGTGCAAACTGCTCCCCTGAGGCAGCAAGGTGATGACTCTCTGCTGGTGACTCAGCTGCACTTTTCCCTGCTGCTCATCCAGGATCTGTGACGTGGCTCAGGAGGGCTGAGCTCAGGAGGGTTTGATTTGTAGGACAGGATTTATGGGGGTTATTCCTTACTTCTGCAGCTAAGCACAGCCAGTGCTGATCAACAGTTGCCATGTTTCTAGCTCAGAGTAGCTGTGTTCTCTCTGTGACTCCTGTCTGTGGCCAACCTTGCACTTGGTGCCTGCAAAGCAGCTCCAAAACTAACGGGACAAAACGTACTGAGCACAGGAAACACAGGATGCACATTGTTCAGCTCTCCCAGCCAACCTGTGGAGAACTGACCACCATTTCCCATACTCCCAGCCTGAGCTGGCACGCGGGTGGCAGGCAGGTAACAGGGAAGGTGCTGAGAACACAGGCTGAGATTGCAATGCAGTCCTGAGGGGGACAAGCATTGTTGGCACACTGATCCTCACTGATAAGTTCCTAAGTAAACTTTATTTCTAAGGCCATAACTCTAGCTGCAGAGCACTAGACTGGTTCCAAACAAACCCCATCTACCCAAAACATTTGCCTACTCACTGCAGCTGACACCATCTCCCATTTCTTTTGCTCTTTGTGCACCCAGTACCTCTCCGAGCCCACAGTGACTCTGGCTCATTCTCTGAAGCACAGCTGGTTCTGACGGTTCCTGAGAGGTCAGGAGCACAAAATCCTGGAATAGCAAGCAAAACAAGTAAGTGCTCCTGAGTAGAGGGAGAGGTAGAGCACAGGACTGGCAGGAGCTACCGAGGAGCTTATGCACCATGGCTTGTCTGTGCCACAAAATGAGCTGCCCAGGTGAATGTACACTGACTCATCACTGTCTTCGACTCAGGAAATGAGTTTTCCAAGGAACTAAACCATGTCTTTGCATATCCTCAGCAGGGACTGAAGGTCCTTCTGGCTCAACATGTGTCACTACAGGCGTCTTGGGCTATGGTGCCATAGTACCATTTTACCATGAGCTATTCTGCTTCTTGGCTAGCTTTGCTGAGCAAAACATTTCCTTTAAAAGGCTTTCTTAAGAGGCACAAGAATTCAATAGACCATGAAAATACTGTCCCATGGAGGATGACAGTTTAATACCCCAGCTCTCTTCCTCTGGCTGTTGCCATGTGGCAACTCTACCTGTTCCCCAAAAGCAGTGCCAAGCACACCACCTTCTGCACCCTGCTAAGCTGATCCATTAAAAGATACAAGGTCCTTGCCAAGCTGCTTCACCAGCTTGTCCCTGGGGGAAGGGACAGGACCCTTCCTGCCCTTGTAGCATTTGTTACTCTGACAACGGCACTGCAGAAAATGAAGCCTGCAATCCAGTCAACACTGCTCCACTTCCACCCATTTTAACTGCCCAGACACAGGAAGATGAGAAAATGATAAAACCTTGGATGACAGACAGCAGGACATGAGTCCATATAAGTGAAACTGCTTACATGTGGAGAGATTGAGGAAAAGGTAATTCAGAGTCACACAGATGTAAACACCAGTCAGATAAGACACATCCCAGCCACTTCACTCCTGTCTTAAGGCCAGCACAGTCACACTGGTGATCAGAAGCACTCGTCATGCAGGCAGCCAGGGGAGCAGCTCACATGAACAGGGCAAGGTGTGATCTGGCTGGTGAATAACCAGGCAGGGCCGTGAGTCAGCCAGCAAACACTCCCACACGCACCCTGCCTGCCCTGAGGTGTGACAGCAGCAGAACGAGGAGATGGCTGCAATAAAAACCCCATCCCACCTTCTCAAAGTGGTGTTTCCCCAAGTACATCCTCTAGATGGTCTGGCTAGAGTTTGGTGTACAAATCTTCACAAACCTGAGATTACACAGGGCAGAGGAACGGTGCTGCAGCCAAGTGCAGGGGCTGTAGGCAAGAAGGAAAATCACCCAGTCATGTTGGAAAGTAGCTCGGATGGTTTTCCTCCTGCTCAAAGCAGGGCCAACACCAAGACCAGATCAAAAATCTAGTCAGGCCTTAAAACCCCAAAGTGAACTGACCCCAAATTAGCTCAGTTCTTGACAGCCTGGTGCTTAAAATGCCAGGGTTGTGGGTTCTGTCCCCATATGGGCCATTTACTCAAGAACTGGACTCAGTGATCCTCATGGGTTCGTTCCAACTCAGAATATTCTGTGACTGTGATCTCAGCCAAGCCATTCTGCTGTCCTGCCCCAGTGCTCAGCTCTAGCTGTGTGGTGACAAAGTTCCCCTACACCCTGCTGCACGCCTCTCCCAGCCTCAGGCACACAGCCAGCCTGCCCCTGAGTAGCTTTGTACCCACAGAGGGCAATCCTTCTCACAGTGGTCCCAGATCCATCCACCTTGGTGTGTACATGGCATCCTGGACCAGCAGTGACACTTGGAAGTTCTGCTCTTCCCACACTGGCCATTCCACAAGGACCTGCCCAAGCATTCCTTGGAGTTGTCTGACCCCTCACAATGGCTCTCCAGTTCCCCCCACTCTGCATGCCCAGCACCTAGAGCCTCACTCCACAGTGCTCCTTCCCTCACTTGCAACAAAAAGCACGGTCAGAACCCTTCTGCAGCTTCCAGAAAAACCTCCCACAATGCCATCCCAAAAACCTCTCCCAAACTTATAAAAGCTTCTTTTTAGCTGTATAAACAAACCAAAAATGCTCTGCTGGCAATCTTCAAAATTGGGGAACTCCTCAAATTATGAGTGGGACAGAAAATGAGGGAAAAAAGGGGGGAAAAGCCCCAAATAAACTGGTGGAAACCATGGAAAGGAGTGGTAAAAAGTTGAAAAAAGCACCAGCAGCAATGGGCACCTCTCTGGTGGGGAAACAAAGGAGAGGGTTTTTCCCCTCCAGTTCCAAAATTCTTCCCCCCAAAAGCCTCTCTGAAGTGCTGGTCTCTGCTGAGTGCCTACACCTGTCTTGGAATGTTCCCCCCAGCACGCAGCTCCCTGGCAAGCCAAGCAAATGACCCACCTCCCAGTGGGTTGTTTATTTGTTCCTAGTTGAATTTTGTTTGTTCAAAGCACGGGCCAGGTGTTTGGCCACACAGAGCTCAGGGCTCTTCGTGACTGTCACTTGCCCCAGCCTTGCAGCCGGAAGAACCTGGCACAGATGACTTCATGAAACCAAATTAGGGGTCATACACTAGAAAGGACATTGCCACAGCTCTGGCGTAATTAGGGCCCATCATCATCAAGGACAGGAAATTGGCACATCTGCTTTCTGGGCTGCTGATCCAATGGTGGCTCAGGCACGATGTCCTGCTGCAGCCCCCCTGGCCCTGCATAAATGTTGTCCTGAGTGCCCCCAGACAGTGGTACAAGCAGTTGTTTTATCACCCAGTCTTCCAGTAGCTCTTTACTCTTTTTCTCCTGGGCCTGGCAGCACAGAACTGACACAATGCTCTCTCTTGCTCTCCTTTGCAGCACCGAAGGGGCCAGGCCAGATGGATAAACGTCAGCTCCTTTTCCTCCAGCGTGACCCCAAACTGAACACAAGTGATGTTTCTATTTGGATGCACCCGCAGAAGGTTTGAACCTGTCCTCCTGGGGCCAGTGATAAAACTGCCACAAACTGGATGACTGCTGGATCATGACCCATGCTTTTTAAAAAATTATTTTTCTCCATATAATATTGAGAATTGTGTCATCTTTTCCCTGGGTTGCACTGCTCTGCAGGGAGAGTTCCTGGCTGCTCCATTCTTCTGTCTCCTCTGGCTGGGCCGTTGTTTCCCAAGAACACCAAAAAGGGTCACTACAACTCTAGAGTTGTGCTAAACTCCCAGCCCCGGTGATCCCTGGGCGTTGCTCAGAGCCAGCAGCAGCTCCTGGGCCAGAGTGGGATTTCCATGTTTTCCGTCCTGCTTTTTTTTTCCTCTCCCAGGCAGAGTGATTTATTTTTATGCCGTTGTGGTTTGCACCAGGACAGCCCATCTTTCCCTCTTTGTTTTCATTCCTTCTGCTTGTCTGAGCACCGTGGAAACAAACAGCTTTGCAAAAGTGGAAACAAGCATCTCTGTGCCTCGTCCAGGGCATCAGGCAGCAGAGAACCCCAAGAAGCTCAGCTGCCTGCTCCGCTTCTGCTGAGACAGGAGGGAGCATCAGGGATCATCCTGGCTCCTCAGGGATGAGTCAGCGTGCACACAGCAGGGACACTGCTCCATATTCCTGCACTAATACCGTCTCTCATCCAACATACTGCTAGTGTTTAGGTTTCCTGGCTGTTGGAATTGAAGGGTTTCTTTCCCCCCCTGTGTTTCTGTGAGTATTTTCAGTGGGCACTACAAATGCTTCATGATGTTGGAAAGGAAGAGCTATTCAGGAATTCCGAGCTTGCATAATTCCCAGATTTGTCTAGAGAGATACTTTCCATCTGGATGATGCAGGCAGTACCACATGGACATGAGAGTTCCTGTGTTACTTAATGCTGTCCTTTTTATTTATTCATTTCTACACTGCTTTACAGGATGCGTGCAGACACAAGGCTTCAGCTGTAAAGGGAACAAGGATTTGTAGCTAATCCTTCAGGAGGCAGCTCTCAAACAGCTCCTGCATGTTGTGTAACTGCTGGAGCCCCTCTGGTTTCTCTTTCCTTTTACAAAGCATGAGACTTCCAAGTGTGGTTCATATCCTGTGAGGGGAGAAGAAAAATATTTTCTGTGAGCTGCCCTGGCTCAAGGCTCCCCGTCATGATCATCACCCATCCTTGTGTTTGCACAGCTCAGGGTGTCTGGAAGCGCTGGCTGGTGCCAGGGCTGTGGAGCTGTCCCATTCCATGCTGCCCCTGGATCATTTGGCAGAAGGGCAATCCCAGACCTGAGTCAGAAAGGAGATTTAATTAATCAGCATGGCAGCTGCAGACACAGAAGCACACAAGTTTGATTTTTCCAAATGTTGGCAATCACTGAGCATCCTGAAGAAAGCAGGCTGGCTCACAGCTGTTGGGCAGAGGTATCCTGGACCTGAACTGGATTTCTGAAGCAACAAAGCCCTCCAGACCCTCTGTAGTCTAAGCAGAAGGCAGCTTGTGTGGCCACCAAGCCACTGTATGACTCCAGTCCTAAGGTCATCTTGCCACAGCACTGAAGGACTTCCCCCCAGGCACCACCTTTCCGCTGCAGCATTCCTGAGGACCCACGGGCAGGGCCAGGCTCATGGCCAGGTTACAGCAAGGGTGACTTTTCCTTCCAACTGCTCGCCCCCAAATACGACGAGTTTGCTTTGGCACCGTTTGCCTGAGGTCTTCCCGACCACCCTGGGCCAAAAAAAAGATGGGAGTGGGTGGATGTTAAGGGACAACATTTGGGGAAATCATCTGCAAGTGCTGGAGATGAAGGAGGGAACTGTATAATCCCAAAGATGCTGTAAGCTGTTCTGTTTACTACTTTCTCTGCAATAAACCTTGGCAGTGAACTGGAGTTCATTTGCTCATCGACCATTCACGTCAAACCTTCTGCTTCTAGGGCTGGGTTACTTTGTAGCTGTATTTTTTTAAGAGTTCTGTTTTCCTTGACTGAAGGGGGTTTCTCCCTGCTCCCCCTGGTTTCCCTGCTGTCCCAGCCTCCAGGCACCAGAAGCCAGCGTAAAGGAGGTTCTCGTGCAAGTGACCTGGATTCCAGACGGGCGGGATGGGGAGCGAGGGCAAGCTGTGCCTGCTCCAGGTGCAGAACCAACACACAGAGGCAGCGGGACACTCAGCTGGGGTTGGGGCAGAGATCTGCAGCTGGCCTGGGTGCCTTGGTGCAGCCAAGAGCCAAGGTCCCCTCCTGCTGCTGCAACATGGTTTGTTTTGGCATTGGCAAGCCGCTGATGCCTCATCTGGCTCCTGGGATATCATGAAGATACTAGCTCAGGAGGCTGCTTTCCCGAGGGTTTGTGTGCACACAGGGAAAAGAGCCTGCCCTGATGGGGCTGGGCACCCTGTGCAGCACTGTGGCACTGGAAGAGGTTGGGGAGAGAGCCAAGCATCAGCGAACAAGTTCTGGGAATTGGGAAAGGAGGCTCCACCCCTTGTGTGAAAGAAGCCAAACAGCCATGAGCCACTATATGCCCTACATGCCTATCTCCCTCTCATCCGTTCATTCCAGCAAAATAGCCGTGATTTATCTGCTTCTTCAGCAGAAACCACAGGCTAAAAGAGGAATTCACACACTTGGAAACAAGTAAAGAGCGAACTGGCAGTGGAGGCTTGTTCCAAACACATGGAGTCACATGCGCCTGAAGCAAGATTTCCAACATCTGGATAACATGACACGCACTCCTGGGCAAGGCGAGCGCTCCTGGGGCTTGGGGTGGACTCGTGCAGCTTGGAAAGCTGGAGTGCATCTGGTTTTGGGAAGCTCAGCAAGCTTCCTCTGCTGTCTCGCAAGCCTCTGCTCAGCTCGGCCTTTCTTTTGGCTGGGTCTCTGGAAAAGCCCAGGCTGCTCTGTCCTTAATCGTCCATGTTTTGTGTATCCACAGAGACTGTAAAACACCGCTTGCTTACTCTTTGGCCTTGCTAGCTCAAAGGCATTAAGAACTTTGTGAGCCAGATCTCTGGCTGACATTATTCACTGCTGGTCCACGGGCTCTGGTAAAGTTTCCAACTTGCATCATGGGGAGGCTTGGCTCGGCGTTGGGATCGGCGGCGTGGAGAAGGCACTGTGACACAGATGTGTCAGGTCAGAGCGCCGTGGCTACAGCGAACCATCCAGAGACAGCAGGAGCAGGGCTGAAGTGAGATGACAGGAAAACTCTCCAGCAGGATGACTCTGACTTCCCCATCTCTTCCTGCCGAGGGAAAAGCAAGATCCTTTTTGCAGTCTGATTCACCTCCGCAGCCTGTGGGAGACACGCGATCCCTGTTAGGACGGGGCTTTTTTTGTTTCCAAGTCACAATTCCGTGGTGTTTGTGCAATCCCCAACCCCCTGCCCCCGCCGACATTAAATTTAGTTGGGGCTTACTCTCTGGCACACATGCAAAGCCGGCAGCACCGCGGCTGGCGGGACGCAAGGGGGACGCAGGGGCCGGGCCAGCGGGGGCGGTGCGAGCCCGCCCGCCCTGTCCCCCGCCCCAGCCGCCGCCGCTGCGGGGAGGGAGGGCCGTGCCGGGCCGGGCCGGGCGAGCCGCGGTGGCGGCGGCGAGGGGCGGCCACTCCGGCGAGCGGCAGGACGGCAGCGCCCGCCTGCGCTCTCCGCCGCCCGCAGGCTCCATGGCCGGGGCCGTGCCCTTGCTGCTGCTGCCGCTGCTGCTGCCGCCGCTGCCCGCCGGCTCCGCGCCGGCCGCGGGCGAGCCGTCGTGCCACGGAGCCTTCGATATGTACTTCGTCTTGGACAAGTAAGCGGGGAGGCGGACGCGGGCGGGGATAGGGGAATCGCCGCCATCGGGGATCGGGGCGGCGGCGGCGCCGCTTTTGTTCGGGCGCTGCGCGGGGCTGAGGGGCCGCGCGCGCGGGGGGCGCCGTGAGGGGCTCGGGCGGGAAGGGCGCCGTGAGGGGCTCGGGCGGGAAGGGCGCCGTGAGGGGCTCGGCGGGAAGGGCGCCGTGAGGGGCTCGGCGGGAAGTTCGGGAATCCTGCCGGGACCTCCTGAGGGGCCTGTGGAAGTTCTCCCGCCGGAGGTGCGTTTGCGACCGGAGGCTTTGGGAGAGCGAGCGGCGGCAGCATCTGCCTCCCGCCCCGCCGTGGCGGCCGGGCTTTTGTGGGGAAGTTCGGCGGCCGCGGTCGCCCTCAGGGCGAAGGGGGCCGGGCGACAAACTTACCGGCGAGAGCTGCGGGTACCTCGAGATGTCTGGAACCGCGAATATTGTCAGTTTCTCCCCGAAATGTCACCCCAGATCAGGCCGCTGATGTGCTCTGGTTTTCCCTTGTAGGTCTGGGAGCGTGGCGACGAACTGGCGAGAGATATTTGATTTTGTAAATCAGCTGACAGAAAGATTTGTGAGGTGAGTGGTGCTGCTTGTGACACCCGAGGTGATGCTGGAGTAATTCTGGGCTGTGTTAAACCCCCCCCACCCCGCCTTATCCCCGTGCTTTTGGAAGCTCAGGGGATGTGTTCCACAAACACATTAAAAGTTTGGCTTCCAAGACCCAAATTGCTGGAAAACATTGGAAACTTTTACTTTATTTTCTTGTGCTTGGAGCTCAGCAGAAAGGTGACAATATGTATCTAAATACTCTCTTAAATGACTCTCAGATATGATTTGATGTTTTTTTAAACTTGATTTTCACTATACCATTTTCCTAGTTTTTGATGGAGTACTGCTCAAATTCTGTGTTTGGAGATCTGTATAAAGAGGAAGTCTTGAACACATGTAAACATGTGCATTAATATATAGCTCAGGTCAAAAGGAAGAGAGCAATGTTAAAGCTCAAACTCCGAGGAACCCCATGCCATGTAACAGTGCATTTGTTGTACTTACATATAATCAACTTTGTTACAGTCAGCAGTGTGGTCGGGCAAGTCCAGCTCCTCTTGAAATAGCTGCTGTAAATCCTGGCTGACTGCTCTGTACAAACAGCTGAGGATTGCAGTGCTTTGCGTTAAAAAACCCTACAACAAAACCCAGGATAAACCAAATGAATCCCTCACCACACTCAGGGAGAGATGGTGTGGTAGGTTTTGCTGAGGAAAACCTAGTACAGAGTGCAGTTACAATCCTGGCTTGCTAAGAAAAGGATCTAATTAGGCTTTTAGAAGTATATATTGCTTATTTTCATCTTGTAAAAAGCAACTTTTTTGTAAACTTATGGTAAACTTCTGTCCAGGGGGCCAAAGAAACTTTTCAAAGTTGTTTTGTAAACTCTGGAATTACAGAAAAAAAAAAAAAAAAAAAAAAAAAAAAAAAAAAAAGGAAAAAGAAAGCCTGATACCAAGCAGGACTTCTTTGGGTAGGTGGTAAAACATTTGCCCACCCTGAGAGGTTGGAAAGATTTCAGTGGAAATCTTTCGGTTCAGAATCTTCTGCAGCCAAGGGACACTCCCTCTTGCAACACTCGTGTGGAGGTCTGGCTGCATTCCCATCCCGGTGTCCGAGTGCTCACAGAGGAGGCATGGCTTTTGTAAAGAAAGGTTCTGTGGGGATCCTGAAGAGAAGCTGGCTAAAGGGCTAAAGCATAACTTGGAGGGTATTGCACGTGGGGGTGCATCTCCAACAGGGAGACCTCGCCCTAACCACTAGGCAGGGATGCACTTGCCAGAGGGTGGGATTGCAAGTACTCAGTTCTGTTTGGTGGCTCAAAAGGGTTGTGACCCCTCAGTTTCAATTCTGATTTATTTTAGAGCCTCTCAGGTTTTGGTATGCAGAGCCATTATGGATAGACTGCAAGCCTGGTTTTTAAACCCGAGGTCTGTGCACTTCTGTGCAGACTTGCAGCACTTACATTCCCTTGATGGCAATAGATTTAAGTTGCATCAGTGTCATCAGTGGACTGAAAACATTCAGCTTTTCAGATGTTAAGTCCTTACTAACCGTAACCTGATTAATTAATGGTGATACTTACATACAGTAAATTACAAAGTTAGTGAATATATTAAAATTGAGATGGTACAGGAAAATTCCCGTCTTGGGCCTCTAGAGCATTGGGCAACTCCTAAGTGTTTTCCACTGCTAATTTGATATGATTCCCTGCAACCTTGTGCAAAGTGACAGATGGCCTTCTTAAAAATAAATTTAAAAAAAAAGATTGAATTCCTCAATAAAATCAATTCATACAGCATTGCTTTTTACCATGACATTTCCCTGTGTGCTTTTAGGGAAAAAGTTTTCAAGTCTCATAACTTCCTGGTCAGAGAAAAAATCACAGTCTCACTCTGGAAGACCCTGCATGCTGCTTTCTCTGGGCTGAGAGAGTCCGTAGGCACTGCTTTTGTAACTGGGAGGATTTGGTAAACAGAAACAAAAAGCAGAGTTGGAAATAGGCATTGTGTCATCCCGAAAGAAAAGGGGAAATTGCCAGGGTCAGTCTCAAAGATGGGAAGGGTTAGGGTTAAGGTTGTAGTTCAAAAGCACGTTTCTAGGAGGCTGGAGGATAAAGATCATGCGAATGAGACCTGAATAAGTGAATGAAATGCTGTCCATTGGTTTGTTTCTCTGAAATGTGTTTTTGCCTTCTTTCCCCTTTCTAAAGCCCCAAGATGAGACTGTCGTTTATCGTGTTTTCCACTCAGGCGCATGTCATTATGCCGCTAACTGGAGACAGGTTAGTGCTCTGCTTTTTTAATTCTCCCCTTCTCTCCCTCCCTCTGCCCTTACTGAATCAGAGGAGCAGTAACAGGAATGGAACAACGACTGATACCTCTAAGTGGTGGCCAGTCATGAAGCTGCCCTGCAGAGTTGATTTAATTTTGTGACCATATCCCTGGATAGCCTCATAAAAAAGGAAGGAGAGGAATGATGGGAAACAAATCCTTGATGGTACCTCTGCCACTGCTTTGCAGAAAAACTAGCAGTAATGTTTTCATCTCTGTGTGACTCTGCATCTCACTTGGCACAGTGTGAGAATGATTCTTCCATTTGCTTTTGTAAAGCAGCCTCCATAGGAGGATTAGCAGGACTTTTCTCGTGTCTAGGAGAAGCATAAAATGGTAAATAAATGTATCTCACATTCTCACATAAGGTAGGTATTTTGTTTTGTATTTACTAACCTGGACTTCAGGGCTTGTTTAGATAGTGGGGTTGGTGCCACTTGAAGGGTGTGAGATCTTTCTGACACTGTGGTGATGTACGGGTGTGCCTGAACTTTCAGTGGATGGTTTTGAAGGCGTTTGAATTCAAGGCTGCTCACTCTGATTTCTAAAGCAAGTGAGGATTTGCAGCTAAGATATCTTAGGGATGGGTGGGGGGCAACAGAAGGAGGAGAAACAGCTAGAGAAGAAAATATTGCAAAAATAATCGCCGAACTCACAGAAATTGGGAAATTGTTGTGTGGAATGAGTGCTCTCAGTAGAGGACAGTGGCACTGCTGTCAGAGTCCTTTGGTGTCCTCTCAGCTTTCTCAAAACCAACACGACCTCTGCTCTTTCCCTTCTGTCCAGAAGCTACCACCATGCACAGCCTTCTGCGTTTTGAACCTGTGGATAAACCATTTAGGAATCACTCCACAAAGCTGTGGCAGGGTGAAAGTAAGGCAGTCTGTCCTTTCTGCTCCTGCTAGTTAATCGGGTCAGTGCAAAACATGGTGTGCTGTAGTTGGTTAGTCTGCTGTGGGTTTGTTTGTTTTAAACAATACATAACAACAAGTACAATACCTCCTGAAAAGACCTGCTGCTGGCAACAGGCACGCGTCATGCTACAGAAATGTAGTGCACATCTGAGATGTCTAAAAACTCAGTTCTGAGCCCCTCCTGTTTCAGCATTTAAAAAGTGTTCTGACTTGAAAATAGCCACTTCCCCCCATCCGGACTGAGATACTGGATCTGCTCTCTGTGGGCAGAGAGATGCTTAAAAGCCATTTTTCCAGATGGCTTGAGAGGGGTCAGGAGAGGACACTCGAGCCTGTTCTGAGGCCTGCTGAAGTCAGTGAGGTCCTTTCTCTCCATTTCAGCAGGCTGTCAGTGGCCTGTTCCTTATCAGGCCTGAGAGGCAGCACTGATAGCACACAGACCACTTGAGGGCAGGATGCTGGAAGCCCGCCACGGGGACACAAGCACCCTTTTCATTGCCGGTCTGTGGCACACTCAGAGCCATGGACAGAATCGTGTTTTTCTCAGAAGCCTCGTGTAAAGCACAGGAAGAACCTCTGCAATTCCAGTGGGTTCTCTTGAGGGGCTTGGCTCTAGTTCAGGATTGGCTGATGCTCTTGCCAGTGTGTCAGGGGAAGCAAAGTGCCACCTTTCTTGTTCAGAGGGAATTGTAAGGAGAAAGGAGAAGGAGACTGGTGACTGTGACCATATGTACATAGGTAAGGATGGATAGATACAGTTGGAGCAGCTGTCCTTTTAGATATTAAAGAAGTCAACAGAGGAAAAATACTGAGACTGTCTGGACCCTGTTGTTCCCAACAGAAGATAAGGATGCTAAGCACACTGCAGTTTTGGGGATGAGTGTTTGTGAGGATGGTTATGGGATATTAGGGCCTTGGTTTGTTACGTGCACTTTGGACTTGCAGGCATATTTTTGCCCTAGCTTACTTGGTAATTCCCAAATGTCAGAAAACCACAATTTCTTCCCAGCAGTTAGATCAAAGCAGGACAGAATTTTTTCTTTGGAAAGCCTTAGGCTTCTGATTGTTTGTGCAAAGTTCTTGCTGGGTTTACTGCACAATAAAGCTGTGGGTATAAAGAAGGCCACAGCAGAGTGCCGAAGCTCCCAAATTCCCAAATATTTTGTGAGTGTGGGCAGTGCTGTGACTAACTCCGTAAAGAGAAGTCATTGTTAATCACAGTACACAGAATGCTACAATAAATCCATGGAATAACAGCAGCACCCAGGTGGAACAGCCTTCTCACACTCGTTAAAGCCCATTTGAGACACACACATTTGTGAATTTGAGCTGGCAATAAGCGGTAAACAAAGATTGGTGCACTCACCTTTGGGGCTCACTGTTGGAAAGCAAGTGGTTTGGGACAGTGGACACCCTCAGGAGTACCATCCAGCTGGCATGATGTTGCCTTTGTTCTCTTTTGGCCAGCTGTCCTGGCCAGCAGCAGTCCAGGTTTCTGTGAGTTGGCTTTGGCAGCACTGATGGGTGCCAGCGGCCAGGACGAGCCCTGCTGCCTCTGCCTGGTTAAACTCCTGCTGGGGATAAAGAGGGATGGTGTTAGTGATGGTGGAAAAGTAGGACGCTTGAGTACATGACCAATCGTCCCGTCCTTGTCCCTAGTCCAGTGGTGTGCTGACTGCTCCTGGTTTCACAGGAATGTGTAAGACATGGACGAGTTGGGGGCCTCAGTCACATGAGCTGCCCCTGCGTGTGGGTCCCAGGCAGCTTGCCAAAACAGACTCTTCTGCAGAGAGTGCGTTCTGCTGCATGTATCAAGTACAGCAGAGTTGGCCACTGATGTGGTTTTCATCTGGAGGCCTCAGGTTTGAAGCAGAGTAATTATTTTAAGTGAATTCGCCCTTTGTAGTATTTAAGAGGCCTAGAAGGCATAAGCCTCCTCTAAATGATGCATCTGAAGAGGCTCGTGCAAGATTTCCTTTCACCAGTATGACAGCTTGCCTCGTCAGAGGTGGAGCCATCCCTGTTTTTGTCAAAGAACACTTCCCCTCTCGGTTTCACTGACACATGTGTGTGTTTTCCTGTTTACCGCACATCCTTCTTAGCAGCAAACCCCAAGTACCTGTTTTGTTTGCCTTCGTTTGTTAGGGATGAGCCTGTTGCCTTGCAGCACACAGCCTCATTTCTCACCATAAATACATGCACAGTGAGGGCCACCATCTCCTGCCAGCGCTCGTATGCTCATCACATTGAGATAATTCAAGATTCCAGCACTTCAATAGGTGGAATGCAACACGGAAAAGACATACAGAATGCTGTCCCCCACTCAGAGGAGCTAAGAGCACCCATTCTGGAATCTGCATGGATATTAACAGCTGTGTTTTCCTGGCTGCTGCTGGGGGAGCTGTCTGAAGCAGTTACACAGCTTAGAGAGAGAACAGACGGGGTAGCTATTAAAAATTAGTTGTGCCTGTGCTAAAACACAGAAATGGGCTGCAGCGCATATGCTGAGTGGATAAAAGATATTAAATTTGTACTTATTCAGCCCAAACACAGACAGGCTGCAAGTTGCTGGTTCTGTTTTGCCTCTTCCACTTCTGTCCTTTTTGTGACTTGCAGCACAAAGCCAGTGGCCCTCAGCCTTTGCTAGTGTTCCTGAGCTGTGCTGTGGGATGTCCAGGCACCCAGGCTGAGGGCTCTGCTGCCACGGTACAGATGAGTTATACAACCGGAACTTCCCTGGGGACTTCTGTGGCTACCAAACAGCCTTACAGAAACCAGAGAAAGGGAAGTTGTGAGAGCACTGAGGAGCAGGAATGGGGTCCTGAGTGCTGTGGCTGGTTGACTGCTGAGTCCCATTCATTATCAGGACAGTGCAGGCAGGCATGAGCCCCTGTGCCCAGCCTTCAAACCAGCCAAGGGTGAGGAGTGTTAGAGTGAGGGAGCCCACCTCTCCTGCTGGTTCTGGGGCCCTAAGTCCACACTGCCCTTCTGACATCCAGACCAGGACTTGCTTGCACTTGACCAGTGTGGAGAATACCGGGAGCTAGTTGACATCTGGCTGGGTCTGTCTAGTGCAGCTGTGCCCTGAGGGCAAGAGATGGTGCCTGATTAAACGCAGCTAAAAGAGCTCATGCTACCAAAGATTTTACTGGAACCCCTTGTGGGCAGAGGCCTGGCAACACCAGAGATTGCTGTGCGACCGGGTCACAAGACATTGCAGATAAATAAAACCGAACTGATTGTACAAAAGCTATTTTTGCAAAACGAAATCTGTTTCAGAAAACTGGGACTTGAGTTGCTGCTTGTTTCTTGGCAGCAGAGCACTAACGCCTGTGATGTGCTGCCACTCATTTCTGGCAAGCACCAACTCTGTGGTTTATAATCTGCGTTCCTACATAATCACTTGCAAGTTGTTTCTATAGATGCTGAATGTAAAATATTTGGATCAAACAGATTGTATTATCTTACATAACTTGTTCCCTTCCATACATTCAATGCCACATATCTCTTTTACTCCCTCCCCTCCCTGATCGTATCAGTGGATCCTGTGACGGGGAGCTTATTCCCGCTATGGATTGTACTTTGGAACAGAGCTGCTAAACATAGAGGAAGCCCATCCATGGAACAAATGACAAGTGGGTGGCATTCAGGCAGTGTGGCATATGCATTCTTTCTCATTTGGTCTGGCCTAAGGAAAGCTTTCACGCATCCTGCAATGTATTTTCCCTCTATCTCCTCACCCCTGCTGGGTTCCACTTTCTCACCTAGATTTGTCACAGTGTTCTATATATTCTGGCCCAAATTTTGCCCCTTCTTAGTTTTTGCTTATCCTTCCCTAGCTTCCATGGACTTGACTGAAACTGTGTTTGCAGAAAAATGAAGACCCTCCAGATTTGATTCTTTCAGTAGTCTCTCTGCCTTTGTTCCCCCAACTTGTGCTGATTTCACTGGAAATAATTTCTGTTGTGCAGTCTATCGACTTCAGCCCTTCAGTCTATCCCTTTCAGCCCCATAGTTAGTGAGCATCTTGCAGGTGGATCTGCTGTACTGCTTGTGAAAAATCATGGTGCAGATGCTGTTAAATCTAAGTGAGCTGTGGACCTGTGTGGGGTGTCCTATGAAAGGTCACACAAAAAGGTTGTAAAAGTCAAAATTTAAAAACTCTGTTCAATCCTTCACTTTTGGCACGGGAACAAAAGGTGTCTTGTGAATGCTGCATTTGGCTGAAGTCAATATTTTCTTCAGGTCAAAGAAGAAAAAGTTCAGTTCTATGTTTTTGCATTCGTGCATATTGGTCTGGAAGATTTCTGATGAAACAGAACTGCTGTTCTAAGGGATTTCTTCTTTGATTGATTGGAAGCCAAGTTGGTTTAAAGTAGCAAAATAGACCGAATGCAACAGAATTTCCACTAGGCTATGTAATGCTGAGGCTTTGCCACCTCTTTGCAATATCTGCTCCACCTGGACATTTTCCTTGATTCCAGCTTTTTGACTCAATTAAGCATCTTTGTTAGATAGGTCTGAGATACCTGTTCCCACAGCGCCACTTCTGTCATGAACACACACAGTCTGCCTCAACTTGGTATCCTAGCTAAAGGCTCTAATTACAGCTTTTCATTTCAATTCTCCTTGAGGACAAATACCTTTTTTCAATTTATAAATTACACCCTTTTCACCCTTCAGGTCACACAAACAGGCTCTTACCTTTTTTTCGTTCACAGAGAGAAAATCAAGAAAGGTCTGAAGGATCTGGAGGAGGTGAAACCAGCAGGTGAGACATACATACATGAAGGACTAAAACAGGTAGGTTTTACTCATCTTCTTGCAATCTGCACACCCTCTGTTATCATCCTTTGGGTAACAACCTGTAACATAAATAGATTGATGCTTTATCAGTCTGTTATGCTCAAATCTGTCTGGTTGCCCGAGTGGTCCCAGGGTTGCCCAGACACTCTGCAAATCCCATGCAGAAGATGACTAGCCATCACAGCAATCTGCCACGTGGAGTGTCTCTGACTCGCTCCTTCTCAGAGCACGGGTTTGCGTGGTGGGTCTCAGAGCTCAGCCAGCATCCCAGTGCCGTGGTGAACAGCCACAGGCAGCTCGGTAGGGCTGCCGGGCTTGCGGTGCTTCCAGAGCGCTCTCCCTGGGGAGAGTTTACCGCACAGAGCAGCGATCCAGAGGCAAATGCTCTTCATTTTGGACTGTCTTAATTATGGGGTTCCCAGCTGCTTATATTTATTTTTCTTTGTACAAATAATGCAGTTTTGATGAAGGCCCTTGCCCTGAAGGTGACGATCTGAGCTTTTACTGTTATAGACAAGTCAGTTCTTCCCCTGTGACTGCAGAGCCATGTTTGTGACCAGGATCTGCACAATGAAAAGCAGGGCAAAGGGAATTCTGTTGCTATTAAAAAAAAAAAAAAAAAGAAAAAAAAAGAAAAAAAAAAAAAAAAAAAAAAGTTTTAAGCCATTGTAACCTACTGACTGTGTTGAAATCTGGGAGGTAGCAAAGGAAATCCCCATGGTGGATTTGAAGAGATCTGTCCTGGAAGAACTGCATATAGGTAAGGGTTGATGGGTCAGTGACCCCAGTGCTTTGGAGATGGGCTCAGTGGTGGCTGGAAATGACCAATGAGGGGTTTCCCTGCTGGAAGTGAGTTCAAGGGAGGCAGAGGATTGTCATGAGAGAGATGCTTAGAAGATGCATCACGGTTAAAAGCTTGGGTGTAGTGTTAAGGTGGGTAATTTATTTTGTTGTTTTCAGGCCAATGAGCAAATTGCGAAGCAAGGAGCCTCAAGGTTCTCTAGTATCATCATTGCACTGACTGATGGCAAGCTGGACGGTCAGATTCCCTTGTATGCAGAGAAAGAGGTGAGCACAAGGTGGAAATACATGTCATGCTCTGCAGAGTTTGGGTGCTGCCTTGTTGAATTAAAAAAATGCTTATTTCTCTGTTCTATGACACCACAGGCAAAGAAATCCAGAGAGCTGGGAGCAAGAGTTTACTGTGTTGGTGTCCAGGATTTTGAACCAGAACAGGTGAGAATAAGAACTTTGCTATTACAGAGTACTAGGCAGTACCTCAACCCAGAACTTTACAGAGTTAATGTTAAGTAGCACGGAAATTTAATTTTACTTACATTAGGCAGCGTAATGTCTTCTCTGGCTCAGGAAACCCACTCAGATGTATATGTAGACATAAATAGAATGTGTGGGTGTTGTACTCACTGCCAAGGAGACCCGTTGGAAATCCCCTTGTTAACTGGGAGCTGCCAACAAGAGGGTGCAGGCAAGCCCCTCTCATTGGAATGGAACCAGGTCAGGGTACTGAACACATGAACAGAGGAGCTGTAGACAAGATTCAGACAGCGTATATGTAACAGTCTTGGGATAAGGAAAAGAAAATGGGATTCATGTCCTTTGCTGGAAAGCTGTTCCAGAGTTGCTGTATCCCAGTGAACACTGTAGCTACTCCTGTTTGGTCAAAGTGGCTTCGAGGAGAGGTACACAAAAGACTCCTTCCTGCAGAAGATGCAGAGAAAGGGCTGTTAGTGAAAGGCACAGCAAACAGGGGGTGTAATTCTGGACAGAGGTACAAAATCATTGGCAAGATACCTGCCCTGAAAAGCTTCTTCAGTGGGATGCTTGCCATGATGACTAGCCACCATTTTTGGCTGCAGTCAGCTGTGGTAAGTCCTACAGTTCAGAAAACTCTTAGTTAGCTGTGGGAGAGCTCTAAAGTTTCCTTCTCTTCACAGAATTGATGAGGATTGCTTTTAGACATCCATTTAAATTTTAAGGGTGTAAAGCACTGTGAGGAAATTAGTTTGCCAGATGATTCATGTGTTTGCATGCATTTTCTCTCCAAAGCTGGAAAGAATTGCTGACGTGAAAGAGCAAGTCTTCCCTGTCACTGGAGGATTCCAAGCACTTAAGGGGATAATCAATTCTGTGAGTACCAGGCAATAAGTTTTATCTTTCCTCAAGATTAGAGCATACTCTCCTGTCCCACTTCCAGGCAGACCTGGTTCCTAAGGCAGGAATTGCAGTACATGAAGCTCCCTCCCTCCCCATTACCTTAGAGAGGCAGTTCTGTAAAAGGAGCACTGCTTGTGCCTCCTGCAGTTATTCGTGCTCAGACTTCGTGTAGAATTCGACGACTATTCACAAGGAGAGGGGAGTTCATGTGCGAAGTTTGGGGGATGCTCTTGATATATGACTGCTTTGGGTTTAGTCTGGAAAAATGGAGACTGTTACTCTGGGAGATTTGAGAACAACTGCTTAAAATCTGGGGAATAAGTGCAATTTAGGAATTAAGCAAATCCTTACTTATAGAGAGAAGTGTTTTAAATCCATGACTTTAACCACTTCTTATCCTAATAAGTTTTCAGCATGGGATGAAAAACTCCTGTTGGTGAGATGAGGCCATTCAGCTGATTACTGTGGTTTGCAGGAAGGGATCAAAGAGAAACATTTTGTTTGTGATCAGTGGCTTGACACTGTTTCAGCTGTGTGTTAAGACACCTGTGACTGTGAACATAAAATTTATTTGTCTAATTTTAGACTGAAGGCTGTATATTCTATGCAAGTTTAACAGTGCTGCTGCTGCATGTAGGCAGCAGAGTGCAAACAGGCTTACTGGCAGAAGTCAAAAGCAATCACAAAATCCTTTTTCTGAGAGAGAGCCCACTATCTTTCATTTCCCTTTCCTTTTCCTTTTTAAATAACAAAAAAGATACTACTCACATACAGGATACTACACAGTCATGAATTTATCACTTCCTCTGAGCAGTGTGGTTTTTGTGAATGCTGTAATGCAACAACTTATTTTCTTTGTTACTTAAAATAAATGTAGTTCCAGAATCTTCCCTGAGCTTTCTAAAGAAAATTAATCCATCTTTTGATGCATTGACATTTGTTCTCCTAAAAAGACAGGGCAGCCCATGTGGTACTGCCTAAAACCTTTACTATTTAAAATCTCATTTTGTACCATTTGAAGGACACTCGGAGGATTCAGCTGTGCTGCTGGTGCAAATGATCAAAGTGCCAGTTCTGGGCTTTTTTATAAGAGCCAAATGCTTAACCCCAGCTGATGATGTTATGTTTCCAAGGATACTGCTTTGCAAATAGGCATGTCAGGGATAAAGGAGTAAAGGCACTCACGTTTGGCGTTTCCCCTCCAGCGAGGGTCACTGACCTGCAGACAGGCACCTTATGAGGGCTCAGGTCTCCGCACGCCTTTGGTCCTTTCAGGAAGCAGCAGAACTATGGTCACTTGAGGTTTCTGAGGAGCTCAGCTTGAGGAGTCTGTCATTCAAACACACGGAAGGTTAGCATATGCCATAGGGTGTCCCATTTCCCGCATTCTCAGCCAGGTGAGGTGTTTTTGGGCAGTCTCTGGCTAGTAGCAGTGCCAGCCTGCCGTGTCCATACCTCCCAGAACTTTAAAGCACCTTCACTTCTGTGTCAGCAGGGAGGGAAGCTTTTCTGATAAGATATGCCTGATGGTGTTTACACAAGCCTCAATGCAGCTGCTTCTGATACTTAGGAAAAACCCCATCTGTAAAAATCCCAGATTTGGGCATATCATAGCTGTAGAACAGGATTAAGCCCAGGGAATGGCAGCACATTGTTTCAAGGTAACAGCTTAGCAGTGACAGGAACAGCAAAACTGATGCACACTGTTCTACAGCTTACATGCAAGGTCTGCTTCTGCAGACTGAGCTCCTGAGTTGGTTCAGGGTTTGTTTACAGCCCAGCCATCAGACACATCAACGCTCGGCTTTTACCACAGAGCATGGATGGAGGTATCCATAGTAGGTTTTTGGTTGGTTTGGATTTTGTGTGTGTGTGTGTGGGCTTTTTCTGTAGGACATGTGTGGTGGCAGTATTAAAGGCTTATTTGGTATGTTGTAGTTAATACTCAGTTTTCTTTGCAGGGGTTTGGAGTGATGTGAAATTTCATTCTCATAACACAATAGCACTGATAAGTAGATCTAATTGAACATGAAATAGTCACGGTTTTCCTTTTTACTCACTATTATAAATCAATTTCTGTTTGCAAGTTAGCTAGAGAATACAGACTCAGAGGCTCTGATCTAAAGGGGAAATCTGATTTTGAACCTGATGAAAAAGAGCTAGGTCACAAACATTCAGCAGTATTGCTCAAAGTACAGAGTCAAAGGTGCAGTTGTGAAACCCTCCGTGAATGTTGCTGAACAATTTCTGTTTGGAAAAAAACATTGTCTTCCGAAATGGTAGCAACCCAGCAATTAAAACCCCTAAGCAAAACTACAACCCAGAACTGCTGAGCAGGTGATGCAGGGGCCTATACTACATTGATCTCTCCAGGTATGAGACTATTTGGCTGCTATCCTGTTACTTTTGTACTGTATTCCAGGAGAGCTGAGCACTTATTCTACATTTGTTAGCGTTAAAAAAAAAAAAAAAAGTGATGAGTTTTAGCACAGACTATCTGTCGTACCTACTCCTGCAGTTGCTTTCAGCATAAGCAACTATTCCAATTTATTTTCTCTGGACAGATACACAATTCCAGAGAGCTTGCACTGTGTTTTGACATTAGTTCTGATAAAGTCTTAGGGAAGTGAGAAGGGTTGATGCACCTCCATGCCATTGTTTCTGCTGAATAACATCCGCTACTACACTAGTAGCTACACCCAACTACACTACTAATGTCCACCACTAAAAGTCTGTGCAGACCTGTGAAGAGGGGGCTGCTTTGCAAAGTTTCCTGCTCTGCCAGCATTGCTCATACCTAGCTTACAAGGT